CCATAGACTCCAAGTATTTGAACATTTTGTCCCCATTTAGTGGTGCTGTTTTGGGAGGTCTTAGAAAGTGTGGAGGAAGCATGTCACTGGGGGCGGGCTTACAGAGTTCTCAAGATGTGACCATGATGGAGGAAGCATGTCACTGGGGGGTGGGCTTAGAGAGTTCTTAAATCTTGCTGACTTAAGCCCTGCTTCCTGTGTCTGCTTGAAAAGTTAAGCTTAGCTTCTGCTTCTCTTCCAGCCATCTCTGTTGCCACATCTTCCTGCCATGACAGATTCTATTTCCTCTGGAAATGTAAACTCAAATAAACTCTTTCTTCTATAGTTGTTTTGGTCAGTGATTCTATCACAGCAACAGAAAAGAAACTAATACAGAATGTAAGTTACTTGTACCTAAAATGGAAAGAATTTGGCCACTGAAAAGCTGTACGCACTTGAAAAATTAAATGTTATAGCAATAAATGACAGCAAGTGTTTTCAAAAGGTCTTTCAAAGATTATTAACCTGAGATATTTATATAGCTTATATATCATACAGCTATATGAATCAAATAAACATACCAAGACTCAAATTTTGAAGGATATCCTTTGAGGCCTATGGCTTTGTTAGACAGATAGACACTCCTTTATTTATTTTGGCTGAACTTTATAAAGGACATTTAAGTACAATGGATGAAAATATAATTTCTGAGATCTAATAATTTGTTTTCGGAAGTTATTCAGAGACTTCAAATATGTCATAAATATTACATAGATAAGTATCACATGACTTAATGTCACAGAGATATGGATTATATATGCCTATTACTCAAGTTGTCTCAACATACATATTTAAATTGTATCTGAGACCTGTAAGCCAAATATGACCAACCAAGTATATAATACACCAATAAAGGACAGATTGAATTGTAAGTGGTATTAAAAATAAGTCAGCAAGCTGTCTGAGCTTGAACTGAGTCACAATAATATGGCTAAATGCAACAAGAAGGTCAGAATCCCTGGTAAATATAAAACCTGCTATGGTGACTGCCTGTGGACAATGGTGAAGAAAATGGAAATCGGCCAGCGGGAGACGTATATAGGCCACAGGCTTCTGGCACTGTGGTTCCTACATGAAAGCAGTGGATGATGGGCCTGGACCTACACCACCACTTCTGCTGACATAGTCTAGTCTGCCAGCAGAAGACTGAAGGAACTGAAAGACCAGTAGACCACCCTTGGTCAACAATAATTGGGTTAATTTATTAACAACAACAACAACAAAGTCAGTAAGAATGATAAATATGCTGGCATGGAATTGGCTTTCTTTGGTGACTGAACAAAATAATGTCTCCACGTGTAATTTTTTTTGACTCTTTATCACTACAGCTGCTTTGTGTGTCTTAATATTTATTTCAATACAGATTAAATTGTTCTTCCTTCATCTACCCTGCTGACATTCATTGGCATACAAATGCAATTGTATAATGAAAATCTCCATGGATTTAAGCAGGGTTAGAAATGCTATGCTGCACATGCACATTTACAGTTAGAATTCAGCTTCCATTTGAGCCTAATTGCCCATTGCTAGAAGGTGAATCTGATCACTTCTGTGGAGGACTAATGTGGCTGTGGAAAAGTGTGTTGTAAGGTGAAACTGGGAAAAGAACAATTATATGAGTGTCACCTCCAGAGATTACTCAATGCCATCCACCCACACATCCACTTTGAATAAATACAGATATTTTAACCAACCATGTTCAAACAGTAACAAATACAACTGTAGTTAGCAACAAAGAACACAAGCTCTGCAAAGATTCACAGTCAGCCACTTATTACAAGCACTTAACCTCTCCAAGCCTTGGTTTCCAAGTTTACAAAATGGAAATTATCACCTTTGTATAAAGTTACCTAATGTTTACTAAGTAGTACATCATGTCTAGCACACTGTCAATAACCCGTTTATTCAACTAATATTTGCTGTGCCTCACTATAAGTCAGAAATTGTTATAGAAACTTAACCAAGAAATTAACCAAGAGGAGAAATGGACAATCTCTGCTTTCTGTCTGTCTATGATTCATTTACTTGACCTTGTGCTAGGTTCAACACTGAGCACTTTATCAGTGAATAAAAGAACCCTGTGAAAAGATAAAATTAGGCTAATCACAGTGTGATAATTTAGGAAAATCGAAAGTCCCATAAAAAAGCTTAGAGAACGGAAAGGGAGAGAGGCTTTCCAGAAGAGAGAGCATTTTGGGCAAGCCTTGACATGCTAGAATCCTCACAGCAGAGAGCTGTAGATGTTGGAAAAGTTATAAAAGGGAGGAAAGTTACAAACACTATTCACTTTGGTAACTCTAAGCAGTTCCACCCAGCTGAGGTTTCAAGTACAAAATAAGTAGTGACAGACAATGAAAACAGAAATATACATAAGAACCGTGGTGAAGTCTTAACTGTTGAAGAGTGCAATATTACATAGAAATTTAGATTTCCTATCAACTATGAATTGGAATGGAGGAAAGGAAAGGGCATCTCATTTTGGAAAACTGAGAAACACTCTTCAGAACAGTTTACCAATAATAACCTTTAGAAATGGAGACTTCCAAAAGCATCTCTGATTGCACTCTTCAACAAGAGCCAATCCCGTGTCTAACAAGGACACTATACCAACTCACATAAACTATTTTCTCATGTTCCCTGCTTGGCCCTGTAAGTCCTGTAGTGCCTGCACGTTTGTCCTCTGACCATTACCAGTACTTTTTCCTTAAAATGACATGTCTCACCCCCGCATTCCTATCCTTAACTCATTTATCCTGACTGTGATGAAATGGAGGCTGGAAAATCATGTATGTCAGACAGGGTACTGGGACCACACTCCCTCACAGCCTGGTTCAAGTGGAATAATTTGGGAGAAGACAGCCAGTCAGACTCAGCTACCCTCCCTTTCAACCGGTGGCTTAGGGAATCTCAAAAAACATGATGATGCTTTAGATTCAGGCATTCTGCTACCTGGACAAAGAAGGAAAGTTGATTTCTTAATTAAGAAACATCACACGTAAGTAAAATTTACTCAAAATGATTCAGTGTAGACACAGGGCATATTAAGTAAGAATTTTATAACCTATTTACAAGCCCTTTTAAGTCAAGTGAAGGGAAAATGGAGTTGTGAAATCATGTTCGATAATCATGAGCACCACAAAATGAAGAAAAAGATTTCTCAACATTAGGATCTGTTCAAAACTGAGTTTCACTTTCTTTCTCATAACCAAGAAAATCACAATTTTTATCATCTAGTCTATATAAAGGTTGAAATTCTGTATGTTTTAATTTTTAGAAATGTGGTTGATTTCATTTTCCTTTCTCAAACATGTCTTAAATGAACAAGTAGCTTTTTAGAAAGATAAACTAAGTAGTATATAATCAGCATCGAATCTTGGCAGATGTGATCAACATGAAATGCAAGGGAAGTAAAGCCAAAGTCAGACCAATAGCTATTACTTGTGAAAGTAGAAGGAGCCTGGGAGCACACTGAACTACACCTTGTTATTTCCCCGGTCTCACACGCTCACCAGCCAGCACAGTTCAGAAACATGGACATTTGACAAGGAGTCCCATAGAACAGGAGAGATGGTGGGAATGCTACAAAGAGGGCAGAGATGGTACCAGCTACGTCTTTCACATTCTCTGACAAACTGTTTTACTTAGTAAAAAATTGACTATTTTTTCCTGACAACCAAAATATATTCACTAATATAGAAAGTACAAATTGATGCCATAAAACTAATAGAAATCACCAACAATCTCACCACCTGAACATGAGAACTATTGGCCTTTTGGTTATTTCTCATCTATAAATTAGTTTCTGTATATAGGGTTTTTTTCATAATTAAGTTATCATTTTGCAACTTCTGTTTTCATTTTTCCTATCAGTGACGGCATTCTGTATCCCTGAATCATCACATTTTGATTTGCTTTCCCAAGTTTCTCACTATAATGGGTGCTGGACTTCTTTGATTATTGGGGTGTTTATACTCCACCCCAGAACTACAGACAATCCCATTTTTATTTTTCTTTGTGAACTTCCCATTTATGTCTATTTTTTCACCAGGGATCATTTTTATAGGGTTTTGAATCTGTCTTAGTCTATTTGGGTTGCCAAAACACCAAACTGGTATAAACTGGGTGGCTTACTAAAAACAGAACAACAAAAGAACAGATTTGCTTCTTAAAGTTCAAAAGGCTGCAAAGTCTGGGATCAAGGTGCCAACAGATGAAGAGGTACACAGAAGACATCCTCCATCTGTCCTCATACAATGGTGCAGGTGAGGCTGTTACTAAGCCTCTCTTTAATAAGGGTCCTAATGATCTGATCACTTCCAAGGCCCCGTCTCCTCATATACACATTTGTGACTAGAAAAACCTACAAATTAAGAAGGGGCCACAAACATGACTACAATGTTTAAAAACAATGCTTTAATATTAACCCTTCAAAGGGGTGTATAAAATATAGAGCCTAATGTTTGCCTTTTTATTTTACTTTTGGTATTTCTCAGAGATGTTTCTGAAAACTGATCATTTTTGTGGCTATAAAAGAAAAAGCTTCTATTGCATATTTGGGAGTATCAAGAAAAATTTTAAAGGAAAATCAAAGCTAATGTGTGTG